TCTCTCTCTCTCTCTCTCTCTCTCTCTCTCTCTCTCTCTCTCTCTCTCTCTCTCTCTCTCTCTCTCTCATCGAGAAACAAAATGGGAATGCATGTTCCCGCGAAAGCAAAAAAATGCATTCCCGTTTCGTTTTTCAAAACGATAGCGGGAAGATAAACTCAATCGTTTTTCTTATTTCTTTGTTTCTTTTTTCGTTTTTTTTGCCTGTTTTTTCCGTTGTGTACGTTTGCACGTTCGGGATTCCTGCGCCCGGTAGTCTGCGCCTCGACACGGATCGGCGTACCGGTCAGCCGAGGCTCGGACTCGATAGTTGGGCCAGGTACTGGCGGTTTAAACCGCCAGGACGCTTCGCATGCAACTTCGAGAATCGAAAATGTGGCATTCCGGGTTCGGCGGAGGTCGGGTTCTACCGGACCGAAATTGTTGGTGGTGTCAACGAGAAGAAAAAAGAATGTTGGGCTGGTTCCTTGGCAAAACTCAGCGCGCAGGGGCAACCTGCCTACGTTAAAAAATGCTTGGAGGTAGTGGTGGTCTAAAATTCCTCCCGCGGGGTGTAAACCTATGTCTGGGCTCACCCTGGATGAATTTGTTGTTTGTCACAATAAGCAGCGGTTTTTTTTTTTTTTTTTTGGGGGGGGGGGGGAAGGAATATACTTACATTGCAAAATGAATTTGAATAGAAGTCGGGGACCTCACAATTGAACCCGGATGAAAATATTGGGGCCATTACCCAAACTTCGGCTATGCTGGAAACCGGGTTCAGCGTCCCCTGATCCAGAAGATTAAGATCCTTCCAAAAAATTAAACATTAAGCCAGCAGCTATCCAAGCACTAGCCTACAAGCAGGCCCTTGGTCTAAGGTCACCAAGTGACTTCTAGACCCCTGATGAGACCTGGTGGGCGGCTAGGCGAAACCGGTCGGGTCATAACGCCGGTCGGAAGCTTCTGTTTCAAATGTGCTTCATTGCTTATTCTTTTGAAATAAGTCGCGTTTGGGACACTTATCTTCTTGTGTTGTCTTCTTCTTCTTCCCTTTGTCATCTTCTTCTTTCTTCCCTTCGCTTGTCAGTCTGACTGGTTGGTGTATTGAGGATCATCTTCAACCATTGTACTTTGTATTGTCGCTTTGACATACTTTTATTCACGAAGTAACCGAGGTAGGAGTGATACTATCTTCGAGTGGCTTTGACTTCAAGATGACGTCTAACGGTTTTCCCAATGCTCCGGCGGCTCCGGCTGCTCGTGACTGCTACAACTGTGGCCAGCTTGGTCATATCTCGCATTTTTGTCCTCTTCTGGATCGTAGGTTGAACGGGGCGTGACCTTCTAATGCTATTGTACCAGCTCAGCCTTTGACCACTGTGCCTCCGGCGTCCAACGTTGGCACTACTGCTCCTTACTATTCTGGTCAGTTTAAAACTAGAGTGGGCAGGAACGGTTTGGGTAGGAGAGTTAGCTCACTAGAAGAGATCGTCGGTCGGATTAATTCCAAGCACGAAGCAGAGGAAGTTAGGCTACGAGAACAACGCGAGGAAGAAGAGAGAAAGAAGCATGAGAAAGAGGGAGATGCACATGGAGATGTCGATGAAACTAGATAAAGTATGTGAAGCGGTGGGAGGGAAAAAGAATGGCGAATCTGAGGAAATTAAGGAACTAAAGGCTCTGGTGGAGTCTTTGAACCGACAGTGTAGCATGGGTGGAGTGATGGGTCGCAAGTCAGGGAATGAGGATGAGGTTGTAAGGTTGCGCGAGGAGGTCGACCGGTTGAGGCGGAGGACTGATGGTGCTAGTACGTCTGCCACTATTACGGGTGCTCCCAGGGAAGCTGACGAACTCATCCAGATCCGACGTGAACAAGTGGAGGCTAAGGCAGCTATGGATAAACGCTTAGCTACTATGGAAGAAGTCATATTCGCTATGCAAAAACACTGGGAATCGGTCGAGGCTAACGCAGAGGTTTGGAGAAACGAGGCTCTACGCCCTGGAAACAAGCGTGGTAGCGTCGCAATTGGCTGCACCCCGATCAACGATGCTCGTGTTCGGCCGAAGGTAACCCCAGTGGTTGCCCCAAGTGTCGCTGGTAAGGTCAACATGCAGCTGAAAGGTTTGGTGGAGCGACATAAGTGGGAGGTTGACATGTTGAAGGAGATGAGATTGCGCGAAGTAAATGCTCGGAAGGAATCGGAAGAGGAGGTTGAACGACTGAAGGTGGAGATGGCAAGATTGGAAACTGGGAAGAGGCCGAAGGGCACCAATTTGAAAGCAAAACTGGACGAGGCAGTTGGAGTATCGTCGAAAAAGGATAAAGGTAAGTGTCTCGTGTCCCCTGCTAAACAGGCCTGTCAGAGGGAGGTTTTTGTCAGGGAAGCACGTAAGCAGCTTCGTAATCTGAAGAAGGAGGATATCGTGGGTATCTGTAAGAAGGAGGGTGTCGAGTATACTACGCTTAATCCAACGAAAGAGGCTATTGCGCAACTAAGGGCGGATCGTGCTAGACTGGATGCTTGTAAGGATGACGTCAACGGTGTTTCGGTTGTCGAGGTTACCGAGGATGGAGGTGACTCCTCTGCTAAGAGCAACAGGCATGACTCTGCCACTTCTTAGGGTCATGCCCGAGTGCGACTTTCCTTTGGCAGGTAGTAAGGATCTGTTGTAGAATTCGCTCGTCGTCCGTTGAGTTATTGCGGTATAGGGAGACCAATTTGCTGTTGACATTGGCTATCTGTGGGGTCATTTTGTTTGATGTGATTCTGTGGTGTCGTAAGCTTGGTGAATTCATTCTTCAGTCTGCTTCCTTTGGTACGGATGACATTGACCCGTGGAAGGGTCCGATCATGTATGCCCTTGTTTCCACGTGGGCTCGTCATATTTATGTCGGGAGTACGCAGCGTGATCTTCATTCCCGTTGGAGGGAACATGTTTATCGGTCGTATCGACAACAAGTAATCGATGGCAGACGTAGGAATGAAAAGCTTTACCAATGGCTTCGGAGGTGTGGTGCGCATACGTATGCAGTTGTCCCGCTTTGTCGATGTTCTGATGATGACCTACTGGAGACGGAGAAGTTTTTTATTAGACTATTTGCACCAGCTCTTAATACACGAGATAAGCCAAGACGTTCACGCAAACGACGGGTGGGGCTGAGGGAACGGTTGCGAAGGAAAAAGGTAAGCGGTGTTACCTCGGAGGCTTCATCTATAGTCGTACATCGGGGCCCCCTCTGTGTATTTCATGCTACTGATGGGACTGAGTAGGTTAGTCTTCTTAAGATTCTTGGTAAATGTAAGGATAATGGGGTGCATCGTGTGATGATTACATGTCGAGGGGATGGTCGTTTGGCTGATAAATGGAAGGTTATTAAGAGGTTGTATGAGGGGAGTCTTGTTGACTGTTGCTTCGGTAAACAGGAGCTGCATTATGCTCGTGATTGGTTGGGGATGAAGTTACTCTGCTAATTGATCCAATCGTTCCTTTTTTGAGTCGATCCCTGGCATTGAAGAAACCCCTGGCATCCTTTCTAAGCAACCCTTCTAAACGTGGGGAACTGAAGCTATGGGACTTTGATGCCCTTATTGCTGCTTATACTGCTGTTCGCTGTTTCAGTGAAAAAAAGACTAGGTTTCGTTTGAGATGCTTACTTTCGCACCATCTTCTGTCCAGATTTGGTATTCATGTGAGGAAGAGGTTGGTTGTCAAGGTTACGTACGATGACCATATCTGTAAAGCTGGTGTTCGGAGGTTGTGTGCTGAAGCTATTGTCGGGTTGGATATCAAGCAGAGTTGGAAGGGCATGCTAGTGCGCCGTATGCGTGTAGTGTGGGGTCGGAACAAAAATGTTGGTGATTTAATTCATAACTTCCGTTTGGTTGCCAAATCGGGTGTTTGTGACTGTCCCTGTGAAAGCGCGGATGCATCCTTGCCACGACGTGAGGGGCATGTTTCATTCCGAATTAATGATTTGTCAGCGTTGTTTCCTACGTGGTTTCGCAATTCGAAGAATCTTGTTCGCCCCTCGAAGCTCTCGTTGCTTTTCGGGTTATGCAAACAGATTGTGTCAGCTTTCGACGACCATCCCTCTTTGCAGATTCTTAATCCTGTTTTTCTCACTACGACGAAATTGAGAATCTGTTTAGTTCGGGACGATAGAGGTCCTTGTTCTGAGTTTGAGTTATGTGAGGATGACGTTGCTCCTCTGAAAGTGTTGCTTCAGGGAATGGTGTGCAGTCCAATTGACCATAATATGGGAGATACCGATGTATGTTATCCTAGACTCTACTATCCAAGGATGCAGGGGTTGTTCCTTGATAACCCCGCGTTTGAACTCTGTACCAAGAACGAGTGTGAGTTGCTTCAAGAGTGTAAACTGACCTATCTTCGTGATGAGTTGCAGTGTGCTGGTCAGTGGAAGAAGAAAGGTAAGATTGGGGAGACCTATTGTTTGCCTAAGCATAAGGACATGCTTCGGTGGAGACCAATTTGTTCATCCTATCCTGAATGTTCAGCGGTTGGTGGAAAAGTTATTTCTCAGGCTGTTAATGCGTTGCTCTGGAATCTGTCGGCTGGGTGTAATCTTAATCTTCGGAGTGCAGATGAGCTGCTTTCTAGAATTAAGAAGGTGAACTCAGGATTGACTGATAATGATCTGATCCTTGGAGCCTCCTTTGATATCAAGGAAATGTTTTCAAATTTGCCTCACGAGTCTATTAAAAAAACACTTTCATGGGTTGTTGAGTTTTGGCGTGAAAAAAGGATTGATGCAATGGCGATACGTAAGCAAGGGAAGGGGGCGAAGCTGCTAACTGGCAAGGTGGAAATGGGGTGGAAGAGGGTCTCGTTTCAAACAATGTTGGCCTTTGTTGTTTTTGAGCTAGGGCATACTTTCGTTCGGGCCTCAGGGCGGCTGCTAAGACAAAATATTGGCATTCCCATGGGCAAGTCGTCAAGCCCTGCACTTGCTTGTCTGCTTTGTGCATATAACGAGTTTCTGTTTTTGACAGCTTTAGGGGCGGATCAGAGGTTATTTCGTGGGTTTCGACTGATGGATGATGTTTCGGTTTTTGCAATTTGCAAACGTGATGATAGCATCTCGTACGTCAAAGGGTTAAATCTTATTTATTCGTTTAAGAATTGCTATGATAAGAACCTGGTTCTGGAGTAGACAAATAAGGGTAACTGTTGGGATTTTTTGGGATGCGTTTTGAAAGTGTTCAGAGGTAAGACGGGTGTACTCTGTTTTCCATTGATGAAGAATCAGAGGGGAGATGTTAGCAGAAAATTGAAGTTTCAGTGTATTCAGGATTTCTCTTCTTTTACGAATTGGCAGCAGAAACTGACGGTAATCATTTCTTTTCTCCATCGAGCTAAAACATATTATTCTGTTAATGGTATGCTTTTTTCCTTCCTTTTCGCTCTCAAGTGTGAGTTGTGGAAGCGGGGGTATCCATATCTATGTTTCGACTCGGCAGTTACTCATTTCTCTAGAAGATTCGGCGGATTATGGCATGACTGGCTGCCGTTTTTGACCAAGTGGGGTCGATTACTGAACTGAGATCTCCGTCGTTTAGGGGGTCTCTCTCTTTTTTTTGGTTCATAAGTTCCTTTGTAGGACTGTGGTTCTTGTTTTTTTTTTTTTTTAGTGTAGCGTTTGTGTGATGATTGGATTTGAGCATGAGACTTGGTGCTTAAAGCGTTTTGGAAGACGTTTTTTGAATGTGTGGTGTGGTTTTAGGGAATAATTGGTTGGGTTCGAACACAGGACTGGTTATCCCAGGATAAGGGGTACTTTGGATTCGATATTTGATTTGTGCCTAGGTGGAAGCTATGATTCGAATATGTGGCCCGAAGCTTTGCCCTGAGTTTGGGTTCGATTTAGGACTTTTTTAGGTTGCGGGGTTCGATCACGGAGTCTATTTTTCAATTTTTAGCGCCGCCGGGTGTTGGGCACTTCCTATCTGACTTGAACTTTTTTTGGTACTGCGCGGCTGTGGAGTATGGACCACCTGACTACGTAGGATGGGTTCTCTCAGGTGCCTTACTTAGTATATATAGCTTTTTAGATTAGTGTCCACCAAGTGACTTCTAGACCCCTGATGAGACCTGGTGGGCGGCTAGGTGAAACCGGTCGGGTCATAACGCCGGTCGGAAGCTTCTATTTCTGATGTGCTTCATTGCTTATTCTTTTGAAATAAGTCGCGTTCGGGACACTTGTCTTCTTGTGTTGTCTTCTTCTTCTTCCCTTTGTCATCTTCTTCTTTCTTTTCCCTTCGCTTGTCAGTCTGACTGGTTGGTGTATTGAGGATTATCTTCAACTATTGTACTTTGTATTGTTGCTTTAACATACTAAGGTCAGTCCTATCTGATGTTGTCTTGTTGGAGCCAACCTGCCAAAATCAGCTTTCCATCCTCTGACACTGATGCCAAACTATTACCAATTGTCCATACTTTTCGAAACCAACAGGAGCCCTCGCCTGATCTAGTATTACTTTTTTCCAGTCGACTAAAATTACCAGTTGCAGGCCTGATTTTACCATTGAGATTTGATGTTGAATAGACCATTTCTCCTTTCTGAAGACCCTTGCATTTCTTGTTTTCCGCATCACCTCCTGAACCACGCCCTTACATGCCAGGGCTGAGTAGCCCCATCCCTGTTTTAAGCTAGCTCCCCTCCGAGCTAGCGAAACGGAGGGCGTTTTCGACATCTCTACTTTCAGAACAAGCTCGCAGGGCCTCGCCTGACTAGTGAAAAAGACAAAACTGTGGAGGGTGCATCTGGCCATGTTATTTAGGGATGTTCGTTCTCATTTTGCATATTTCGAGTGCTGCGGTGAGGCCCTCACCCTTTTCGACGGCCTCAACATCCTACTTTTCGACACTCTGTGTGGACAAAGCCGCCTTTTTGTTGAAAACTCCTATTTCAAAAAAGTGCTGCCAGGTGTCGTTTCGACATTGGTGTGGCGAGGCCCTAAATGGGATGCCCGATTTGGGAAAATAGTGGCTGGACCGGTCACACTGCTTCCCCATTTCGCAACAGACAAGGTTGTGGCCACCTGGATTTTGGGTCCTCTTCGACTGCTCCAATCACACTGCGAGATAGTGTTTCCTGGCAATACCTTTGTCTTTGAATTTCTTTCCATTTCCGCAGGTTGATTCCAAACAAGAAAGGGAATTTACCCCGAGGTTACCCCAAATTCCCAACCCCCGTGGCCCCTCAGGCCCCTGACAAATGGGGTCAGATCCTGGTGTGACTATCCCTCGACACTATTTTTCGGGATTTTGGGAATTATGCGGATTTGGTACCGCAGTGTGATCGTGCCCTGAGATAGTCAGCTGTATCCTCCCAGTCGGTATTAGTAGGGTTTTCAGCCGTCACAGGTGTGGGTGCAATTGTGAGCGGGTTGGGTGTGGTGTGTGGGAGAGTGTTGACCTGAGACACTGCCGTTACGCTATGGGGGTGGGGGAAGATTAAAAGGGAGAGGCCCCGTCCTTGTGCTGGCCGGCCCTCCACGGGCCGCCCCAAACCTGCACCCTAAACCACTAGGGCAAGGGGCAAACATGCAATTACCTCCACCCACCAACCAGCGAGGTAACCTCGCTTCACCAAGAGAGGTAAATAGCTATGCTTGCAGGGGTCCCCTGTATAGTCTTAGGAGAATGATTTTGTTCTGGTCATCTGATTACATGTGGATTCGAACATGAGTCCATATTTCAACAGTTCGTGGGTGTACCAACTGAGGGCGTACTCACACTAGCACAATCTTAAATGGATCTGACCGTATATACAGCCGCACCTGGATGCATGTGGCCGCAATTGCGTCACGAAATAAGTAAACAAGTCCTAGTGTGAGTATGCCCATTTGCGTAACCTGGCCTTTTGAATGTGCGCACACTACATGCATTGCCAAGGAGATTCAGGGCATGCTCACACTACTGTAGGACCTTTTTTGCTTAGTTATGGACGTAATTGCTGTTAGATACATCCATGTACGGCCGTAAATACGGTCCGATACATGTACGATAGAGGTAGTGTGAGTACGCCCTCAGATGTTGTGTAGCGGAGCAGGGGCAATCCACTCAACACCGGGGGCTAGGTCCCACTTACACGAATTAAGAGATATTGACCGTAGATAGCATAGATCAACGGTCAGAATCTCTTAATCCGTGCAAGTGGGACCTTGCCCCGGGGCATACTGGGCGCACTGGGCTTGTCGCTGCCCAGAAAGCGAACGACCGCTGTCAGCATTTCCATCCCGGGCGGACCGGTCCGGCGCATCCCACATTCTGATCGGTTCTTAGAGCACGGCTGCGTGCAAACGGGCTTGCGGAAGTGCACACTCCCTCTTTCACCTGGGGAGTCTCTTTCACAGTCGGCACAGAAACGAAATAGGTAAGTTCGCGCAGCCTCTCTCTCTCTCTCTCTCTCTCTCTCTCTCTCTCTCTCTCTCTCTCCTCTCCCCCCCCCCAACAACCCCGGAGATAGCTTGAGGTGCTTGTAGGAGCAGACGCCTCAAGCTTTCCTGNAGAGAGAGAGAGAGAGAGAGAGAGAGAGAGAGAGAGAGAGAGAGAGAGAGAGAGAGAGAGAGAGAGAGAGAGAGAGAGAGAGTTGCAGTTGCCCTTTGTACCACAGCTCTGGGCTGTTTTTTTTCTGGCGTGGCTGTGGAAAGTAGCGGGGTTGAGGGTGCTTTCCTCTGCCTACCTTCTTCCGCCGAATACAACGTACGGTCATTATAGCTGTATTTGGGGCATCTGTCAGTCTAAATACAGCTATAATGACCGTACGCTGTATTCGGTGGAAGAAGGTAGCCAGCCCTCTTTGCATATCGCATTCTCTGTTCTTTGAAGCTAACGCTTCTGTCTGAGTTATGATGAACTTCTGCGGACTCCATCTTCGCTCTTCTGTGCTCTTCTGTCTTGTTGGATTCAATGTGGTGTTTTTTTTTTGTAATGCTGCAAGGATTTTCTCCGGAGGGGGGGGGGGGTTGGACGTGCTCTCTCTATGGCAGAGTCACTCCACTCAGCCCTCTCTATGCTCCACAACCAACCCCCACTTCCGTATGAAGAAGGTGCAAAAAAAAAAAAAAAAAAAGAATTGGGCAATCCTATCCTACCCTGGAAGCTGTCACAGAGCCAGTTTGAACTCTTGACCTACGTACCCCGAAGGTAAATTGTTGGCCATTTGAGGCCAGTGGTATTTAGAAGGGTTTTTTTTTTTTTTTTTGTGTGTGTGTGTGTGTTGGGGGGGTGAGGTGGGTTTTAGAGTTTTGGGTTGCACGTTTTGAGGTGATTCGTTGCCGTGCCGTCTTCAGCAGAAAAGAACGCCCCCGGTCATTACGGCTGTATTTTTGGGCCAACTTTCAGACCAGATTCATCGGTAATGACCGGGCGTTTTATTCAGGTGAAGAGGGTAGTGATAGTCATTCTAGTGGTAGTACAGGTCGTAGTAGTAGTATGACTACCATCGTCACCCATATAGAACCTGTCTCTTATACACATCTAGATGTGTATAAGCTCTCTCTCTCTCTCTCTCTCTCTCACACACACACACACACACACACACGCACACACACACTAATCCCTCCTCTAGTCCATCCACTCGTTCATCATCTAGAGCTGCAACTCCATTGGTTGTCAGGTGGCTATGTTACAAGCGGGGAAGGCCTTGTGCACGGGCGCCGTAGGGGGGACGAGGCGGGGATCATGCGCTGAAGGCGAAGAGGCAGGGGGAAAGGGAGGGGAGGCCTCCGCCCAGAAGTGGAGAGTAGAAGGCCGTCATCGACATCTTGCGCGACTGGAGTAGCAGGAGAAGGACAAAGGGGGAGGGTCGGGATAAGGAATCAGAAGGATGAGAGGGTCGAGATTTGGTCGGACGGGATGGGAATGCGGCGACAGAGGAAGGAGAAGGAGAGTCACTGGGATAGGGTGAAGGCTGCAAGGGGTGAGATTGCCAGCGTCAAGGAGGTTGGAGGAGAGGGAGGGGGGGAGACATCGAGGAGGAGATGCTGAAGCAAATGGGAGGAGGATGTAGGTCGGGGACCCAATTTGTGAAGAAGGGAATGGGCAGAGCGGATTGGAAAGGGGAGGGAGGGGGAGGAGAGGGGGGGAACACGATCAGGATGATGCGGGATCGAGAGGAGCAGGAGGGCGAATTGTCAGCCAATCAGGGGGAGGATGTAGGGGCCGGTGAAGTGCAGGAGAAAGAACGCCAAGGCAACAGGGTAAGGAGTGGAGGTCGTGGAAACAGATCAGGACAAGGCGGGAAAGAAGAGATTGAAAGGCAGGAAGAGGGGCTCAGGGCGGAGGAAGGGGAACAGGTTTGTAAGGAAAGGAGAGAGCAGGATAATGACGAAGGGCCGGAATCATTAGAGGGATAGGGTGAATGTGGATATGCAGGTGATGGAGGAGGAGAGCAAGCAAGCAAGCAAGAGAGAGAGAGAGAGAGAGAGAGAGAGAGAGAGAGAGAGAGAGAGAGAGAGAGAGAGAGAGAGAGAGAGAGAGAGAGAGANATCTATGGGTGTGTTAAACTGTGTTTGCTCTTCTTTTTCTGAACAAATAAAAACAAAAACAAAAGCAGCAGTGATTGCTGGGCATGTGGGGACCACCGTGCAAGAAGTGGAAGGGCAGGAACAGAGAGGGAAAGACAGCTGAAAGCGATTGACATCATGATTTCTTCTGTTGTCGTCGTTGTGCAGGTTGTGTCTGCTGTGATAAGCCCGAAGTGTTGGGTTCTCTGAATTCTGGGCCTTGTGGTGGGGACCACTGTGCCAGACCCAGTCCACTGCCCTCTTACCTGCCTGCCTCCTGCTCCTGTTCTATTCCCCCCCTACTAAGAGGAACTCAGCTTGAAAGCCAGTGGAAGGTGGAAGCCGAGCACAAGTCTCTGACTGACAAGTGATATGTGCGACCTTGTTGTCACACACTGAGAGCATAAGCACTTGTTTTTTTCTCTTCTGGTGTCACAAACTGTATGCAGCCCTGTTTAGCTGAATGATACATGCTAGCCTTAGGTACTGATCGTCATCGATTGGTTAAGAGTTCAAACCCTGGTTCATCACGCAATAAAGTTTAAGGCTGTGTTTCAATCCGGCTCCAGAGGCAATCTCCAGTTGCTGCTGTAGCTCTACTGGTTGTGTTCGGGTTTCGGTAGACGGCGGCGGCGATGTTGTTCTGCTGAAGTATTGTTATTAGTCCATCAGCTATGGCTTAAGTCTGATCAGGTGTTGTTTTTCCTAGGCTCGGCAGATCAACGTATGCCTTTGCTGGTTCGAACCCGGCTTCTGTGTTGTGACTCTGAGGGTTTCTTTTCCCCTTTGCTGGTTCGAACTCGCCTTCTTTTGTATTGTGACTCCGGCGTTTCCTTTCCCCTAGAGTCTTGTGCCATCCACTTTTTTCTGCTCTCCCACTCCCAATCAAGCCTTCCCGTCTTCATTTGTCCTGCATTTGTGCACCGGGGTGTTTTAACCCGGTTGTCCTGCATTTGCGCACCAGGGTTCAAACCCGGGTGATCTGCTTTTGCACACCAGGGACCAGGGTTCGATCCCGGGGTTGTCCTGCATTGGTGCGCACCAGGGTTCAAACCCGGGTGATCTGCTTTTGCACACCAGGGGGTTCGAACCCGGGGTTGTCCTGCAGTGGTGCGCACCAGGGTTCCAACCCAGTGTCCTGCCTGCATTTGGGCACGCACCAGGGTTCCAACCCGGTTGTCCTGGATTTGCGCGCCAGGGGGTTCAAACACGGGGGTGTTCCTCATTTGCGTCCCAGGGGGTTCGAACCCGGGGTTGTCCTGCATTGGTGCGCAGCAGGGTTCGAACCCAGTGTCCTTCCTGAATTTGCGCACCAGGGTTCGAACCCGGGGTTGTCCTGGATTTTCGCGCCAGGGGGTTCAAACTCGGGGGTTGTTCCTCATTTGCGTGCCAGGGGGTTCGAACCCGGGGTTGTCCTGCATTGGTGCGCGCACCAGGGTTCTCAAATGATGTGTTCGCAGTATTGTTTGTCAGACTTGCAGCAGTTGACATCGGTCAGATGTTCTGCGCGTCTTCTAGGGAACAAGGGTGCAGAGAGTGATGCTGGCTGCTCGGGGTTATGCTTATCCTTTCGATGTGCTGCTTGGAATGTGACTTCGTCGAAGAGGTCCGAGTGTTGCGTTCCTGCCGCGGTCCATGCAGATAGAGTCAGACACAGCTTGTCGTCTTCGACTTTCTTGGAACAAAGGTGGAGAAGACAGTCCACGAGCATAGAACTGAATCGGCGGCGTGTTACACTCCCTACTCACCAAGGGAGGGCTCCGCCTTCTGCTCGTAAGAACGGTGTTCGGGCCCAAAGTACTGCGGTGAACCAGACAGAGACGGTCGGAATGGGTCTGAGAACTTATCAGCTGACAGATCTGTCGTCATCTGAGCTTCAGCGCTTGCTAGCGAGGCCAAGGATAAACTTTGATGCTATCTTTGGGAGCGTGCTGCCGATCGTGGAGGATGTGCGGGCAAGGGGAGACAGCGCTGTCCAGGACTTCACGGAGAAGTTCGATGGGGTGCGGCTCGAGCAAATTGTCGAGCGGATAGACGATATAGAAGATCCAGAGCTGGATGCAGACGTGGCAGCCGCATTTGATGTGGCATTTGAAAACATCAAAAGATTTCACACTGCGCAAAAGAAGACGCAGCCGCTAGAAGTGGAGACGATGCCGGGAGTGGTCTGCAAGCGAGTGACTCGGCCGATCGAGTCTGTTGGCCTCTACATTCCCGGCGGGACAGCGGTGCTGCCTTCCACAGCCTTGATGCTGGCCGTTCCGGCTGGAATAGCCGGTTGTCGGACAATCGTCGTTGCCACGCCGCCTCGGAAAGATGGCTCGATTGCTCCGGAAGTTCTGTACTGTGCGAAGAAAGCCGGGGCGACTCATGTACTCAAGGCCGGCGGCGCCCAGGCCGTTGCGGCGATGGCCTGGGGAACTGCCACGTGTCCAAAGGTGGACAAGATTCTAGGCCCTGGAAATCAGTACGTAACTGCTGCAAAAATGGCTCTGCAGAACAGCGAGGCAATGGTGTCAATCGACATGCCTGCGGGCCCGTCGGAGGTTCTTGTTATTGCAGACAAAGGCGCAAGTCATGTGCATGTGGCGTCCGACCTGCTGTCTCAGGCTGAGCACGGGCCAGACAGTCAGGTTGTGCTTGTTGTGGTCGGGAAGGATGTTGACGTCGCCGGCATCGAACAAGAGGTTATCAAACAATGCGAGGCCCTGCCCAGGGCTGAGATTGCAGCAAAGGCGCTCAGCCATAGCTATTGTGTCGTCGCGGATAGTATGGAAGAGGCCTGTAAATTCTCTAATATGTATGCGCCGGAGCATTTGATCGTCAACACAGATGACGCAGAGGAGTGGCTCCCGCATCTGGACAATGCGGGCTCAGTGTTCCTGGGGAGATGGACACCAGAAAGTGTGGGAGATTACGCGAGCGGGACGAACCACGTTCTTCCCACTTACGGGTACGCACGAATGTATGGTGGGGTGTCACTGGACTCGTTCGTCAAATACATGACCGTCCAGATGTTATCTCAGGATGGATTGAAAGCCTTGGGTCCTTCCGTCGCCAAAATGGCAGAGGTGGAAGGCCTTAGTGCACACCAGCGAGCAGTCACGCTGAGGCTTGCAAGCATTGCAAGCGTCGCATCGAAATAATCGAACGGAAAAAGAGCCAACCGTCTCAACCATTACCACCTGACTGATTGATTGCGTGATTGAATTGATTGATTGATTGATTGAATTGGAAGATTTCTGGTGTGCAATGGCTGACGTGCTCTGCAACAAGGTAAGGTGACAAGTCCTTTGAAGTTGGTAGTGACGTGGTGTTGGTTTAGATTCTGCACTTGTCGACAGTAGCGTCCAGATTCAGGCTCAAAATTCTCTGAGTTAGCGGTGGTTCTCTGTTGCTTTGAGTAAGTACTAAGAATAACTTCAGACGGAAGCTTCGATCGATCAGGTAATATTCTTTTCTTTTTTTGTTTTCATATTGATGTTGATCAGAGACCGAATATATTAGAAACGTTTTTTAATGAACGTAAATGCATCCTTTTCCTGTTTTGGAAATGGCAGGTCACTCAGCACACAGTTGCAGCCCCTCCTGCTCCCCTGAAATCTATAGGTTGTTGGTTTAGGAAGTTAGCAGTCGGCGTCCCTATGAGTTTGGTATTGTCTGGATTTACTCATCAACCCACCTCCTCTCGGCATCGAGGGTCGGTCATCTTCGGACTGGAGCGCTTGACTAACTGACTGCCCCTGATCCTGTAAGTCAACCAACTTATTATAGATTTTTTATTTTTTTATTTTTTTTATTTTTTTAGATTCATTTTTAACACTGAGTAAGACCGTAACTTAATTATTGGTCATAAGGTCCTCTAAGGTGAAGTTCTGGCTAGCTAGGTTCACGTTGAGTTAAACTTGGTGTGGCTTATACGCTCGGAATGCATGCATCTGGCTTGAAGGTGCGTCGGAATGCATGCATCTGGCTTGAAGGTGCGTCGGAATGCATCCATCTGGCTTGAAGGTGCGTCGGAATGCATGCAGCTGGCTTGAGTAGGTGGATGAATCTGGACACAATATTGGTCAAGGCAGTCTGACCAGCCGCTTTGGGGTGGTTAACTTGCAGGTCGCAGAAATGCCATGAAGGTTTAGACTCCTTGTTGCTTTAAACCGCTTGTACACGGCCCCAGTTAACTTGCAGGTTGCAGAAATCCAATTTATCAACGCAGTTGCAGTCCAAAACTTGTGGCCACGAGAACACGAGGCCGGAACGACATCGAACGCTGAGCCTGCCATTGATAAATTGGATCGGCGGTGGCTTTTTTTTTTTTTTTTTAACAATTTGGACCATTTCTCGATTTATGCGTGTCATCCTTGAAATTGCAGGGGCCATGCTAATCTTCTCTCTCTGTATCGTTCCAATTTCAACGGATGTCCCGAAGGACAAGCGGTCGCTTTTTCGTTTCGCGCCGGATGGTTGGAAAAATACACACCAAACATATCCCGTACTTCTCGTTCCCACCAACCACCTGCCGGAAATATTTCGACTACTGAAAAGATGGGAGTTATTTCATTTACGCGTGTACGTACACGAAGACGCGAGTTATACTGAATCTCACTCGGTAAGTTATACACCACTTCAGATCTATATCTATCATGTTCTCACTGTTGAAAACAATATATAGGCGGTCGTCGTCTTCAACAAGCATATTGCCTTCGCGAACGGTGGCCTTCTTTTATGAGCGACGTACCCACTTCCCTGTCCTCACGGCCTCCAGAATTTCAAGGTGGCAGGCTTGCGGCCCAGGTTGCCATGTGCTGGTGCTTTAAGACCTTTTTGAAGTGGCGACGTAAAAATGTCATTATCTTCTGTGTTGAGTTAGTGACATGCATGTAGACAAGTTAGACTAGCACGGTGCACTTTCTGTCCATTGCGATGAGGAGCAGTAGTGCACCTCGTGGAACAGCGCCTCTTTTTTTCCTTTCTATGGCCGAAGAGCCTGCCAGCATTACATTCGGTGTGGTGTGAGCAAGTTCTCTTGCCTTGCCTCTTCCTTTTTCTGATGTTTTTTTTTTGTTTTTTTTGTGTGTGTCTGTGTGTGTGTGTGTGTTTCCAACACTTGGGTGAGAATGGCTTTGTGGAAATGCAGGGGTGCCTTGGTTCTTTTGAGGACCCTCATGTGGACTTCCTTTGCGATTCTCACATCTCTTGCAGAGCTCTCCCGTTTCTTTTTTTTTCCTTTTTTCGAAAGGGCGACGGCCTTGAGATGTCGGCATAGAACTGACGGCCCCAAGGTGATTCGGAATTATTATTTTATTCAGTTCATTTGATTGCATCTGGGTTCGAACTGTGGTCAGTGTTTCAACAGTTCATGGGTGTAACCGACTGAGCTAGGCCCATTGATGAGCTCTCCCCTTTCTGTTTTTTTTTTTCTTTTTTTCGTAAATCCTTGCGATTGGCGTTCCCTAAAAGGTGCAAAAAAAAAAAAAAAAAA